TCAGGGCACACAGGTCTTGCCTGCCATGGGCAGTGCTGTCTCTGCATGGCACAGGGATATCAGGTCTTGCTGGGGAGCTGTGGGATGAGCCAATTCTGGTCACAGGGATGGCAGTCTGGATGATTTCTTTTTCTTATCACTTCCATAGATTTTCCTATAGGCTTTCCAGATTCTAGGGAGGTGCCCAGTTGGGGAATTTCCCCAGCTGCATCAAGAAAAGTCTCTCAGCAGATTTCTGCCAAGATGGAGATTGGGATCAGCACCCATCTCTGCTGAGGTTCCTGGGGAAATGCCATCTTACCAGAGCCCCATACATAACCATGTCCCATGCTGTCCTGACATCACAGGAGACCTAGGTCCACTCCTCTCTGGGTCCACACTCTGTGTCAATTTCCCCCAGTGCTGGAGAATTTCATGCACTATAATACATACATATACACACACGTACACATGGATTCCTATTCCATGTCCCTTGTTGCCTGTTGCTGGCTGGCACAGGGCTTGCACGCATGGGGAAGCATTTGAGATGCTGGTAAATAACATGTTTAGTTCAAAAGGATAGAAGGGCAACTCTTGTAAGTGTGTGAAGACAGAGAGGTCATTAGTACATGTTTATTGAAGTTTACCAGCTGTGTAACAATGGGCTTCTCTTTGCCATTTTACTTAATTTGTCTGTAATTATGTTCCTAATATAGAAATCATTTGGCATTTATTTGCCGTAATAAAACTTCCCATTGCATTTAAACTCAATGTGAAGATTTAAGTATATTTAGGAGATGCAGCTGAAGACCTGAAATTAAATGACCCTGGCTTCCTTTTGCAAACAAGACAAACTCAGATAAATGCTAGCAGTCAGATGAACGCATGCAGATCTGTGAGCAGCAGCAGCAGCATGTACACCCCCAAAGAGAGATGGCAGCCCTCGTGATGGGATAGCTCCTCCAGTGTGTTCTCATTGACCTGCTCTGGCCCAGGCACTGCTCCTCTTACTGAGGCTTGTGCTGCTTTGCATAGCTGAGCAGGAAAAATGCACAGGTAAAGGAAAAGCTGCAGGTCTTATCATCATCAGCTATCTTGGTTTTCTGTACAGCTTTCAAAATGTTTGCTTTAATGGTTGTAGTAGTAGGATGTTGGTAACATGGCTCTTTCCAGCTGAGCTGGTGCTCAGGAGCAGCCCAGGCACCAGACATAGGTCAGCACAGCTGGGCCAGCCCAGGAGACCAACCACATCCTGGCCCAGTGACACCATCATCCCCAGCCCTGCCCTGTTTAAAGGAGACTGGCTGGGAAATTTGCTGTACTTAATTTGCAGTTAAAAGAACAGGCCTGGGAAATACATCCCATATCTGCCTGCTGGTGTGTGAGCAGCTGCAGCTGCGGATGGGCTCCCAGCGCTGATAAATGACAGATAAAAGCCAGGAAGACTCTGCCACCACCACTCAACAGGGGTGACGCTGCTCCTGACGTGGTTATTTTCTCCCTGGATATACCGAGCACCACAAGCACGCACTGGCAATATTTATTTTTTTCCCATCCTTTCTCAGCACTCCTGCCAGGAGGCTTTAAACAGCAGGGGCCAGATAATCATTAACTGCTTTGACGTATTACAGCAGGTACAGATTGGAAATTCAGACAGAAAGGACAGAGCTGGAGCAGAGCTGCACTACTGGTGTATCTCCAGCAGTATTGTCCTCCTCAGGGTAAAGCCAGTTCAACCTGGCCTTGCCCTTGCTGCTCCTTGAGACAAGCTCCCATCATAGTGAAAATAGGGAAGAATATTATATATATAATTGGTATATTACTCTTTCCAGAAGTAGGGAAGAGCATTTCATGCATATGTTTGAAATGGTTGTGGCCGAGCCAGAGCACCTTTCCCTTTTTGTTAACTCTGTTTTTTTTCTAATTTAGACTTGGATAACAGAAAATAAATCAATAAATAAATAAAGCATAACGCAGATGCCCTGACTCCAAAGCACACTAGCACACTTCAGTGTTTCAGAAGAACAAGACGGTAGTGAGCAAACTGAGCAGGAAGCTTGCAGTTGGGGACCATTTCTCCACTAGTTACTGACAAAGGAAAAATGCTGCTTAGACTCATCCCAGTGATGGGATATAACACTACATTGGGAAGTTGCAAAAATAAATGTTGTGACTAGGGAAATAGACCCTTCAAAGGGTTTTTGGAGAACAGTTCCCAAAGGGATTTGGTGGGAATGCTCCTGTTTGAGCACTAGAGAATATGTTGTGCAGACCCATCTTCTACAAACCTGCAGAAAATGGGTGTTAGGGATTTAATTTCCATCTCTAATTTTGTGATTTTTTGTCTCACTTTGGGTTTGCTTTTGTGTTCTTGTAGCTTTTAGCAGCAGAGGACTCTGTACAGCAAAACCTTCCTGTATCACAGCCAATGGTCTGTTCCTGAGCTCTCTGTACAGCCAGCAATGAGACTCCTTCTCCTTTGCTGTACAAAGGATTTATTCCTTTAATATGCCCCTGGTGTTTGTTTTTCTGCTGGTACAGGAGTGCATGTGTGCATGTGTGCATGTGGCAGTGTTTTACAAATGCCTGCTGTGGATAGAATTGGGCTTCACAGTATGCAAAAATAGCTGTGTGCCACATACAAGGATGTAATATTTCAGACGGCTGGAGAAAATGTGATAAATTGAGTTTTTGCTAGATCTGCTAAAATCAAGTTACTGGCAGATTCATCTCCACAGCTGAATCCTGAGGTTGTAGGAGCTGGCAGGACTGTGTGTTTGAGCATCACAGTTAGAGAGGGAAACTGGGTCCCCATGTTGCTGTAGGACATCTGTGAACATCTCTTGGCTCTGAAGAGAGAAGCTCAGATTTCATAGACTCATTTATTACAGAGCCCCAGAAGCCAATGCGAGTCCAGGCTGTAGCTGCAGCTTTTTCCCTCTGCCTTTGCCTGGAGGTTGTTGCTCTTAGTTCCTGCTCCATTCTGCTCCACTCCTGATCCCTCATTATTGATGCCTCCAGCTGCTCGTTAGACAAAGCCCAGGTCCTGCACTCACCGTTTTGAGCCCTGCAAGAGACCCAGGTGTGCAGTGAGGTGGAAAGGCAGGAATGCTGCAGATCTGGGAGGATTCTGTGTGACCTGCTTTCTGCTGGGGCCACACTTGTGTGCTGAGAAGCAAAGCTGTTGACAAAATAAGGCACCAGGGACTGAGATGAGAAGGGCAGACCAGAGGCACAGTGCAGTGGTCCTTGTACCAGGCTGGCTCTTGCTGTGGAAGAGGTTTGGCGAGCAGGGAAGCAGAGGAGTTGTGCCAAGTTCTGGTCCCTCCACTTTTGCATCCTGTCTGGCAGTACCTGCTCTTCTGGGCTCCTAATCACTCTGGCAATGTCCCACCCCAGTCTCAGCCAAGGGCACAAACATGCACAGCCAAACCTGAACCCCCTCAAGTTGGAGCTCACATGGGAGTTTGACTGCCAAATGTCAGTGCTCATTCCCATGTGCACCTTTCTCCCATCTAATCCTTCCCTACTTCCTTTCTTCTGGTTTGTCATGTCACCCCTTGCCAGGTGGAAAAGGTTCATGGAGCTTACAACCCTTCTTGCTCCCCCTCTCCCTTTGTATACCCTCTGATATGTAATGAAGACCAGTAACAAGTAGAGCCAAGTCTGGGTTTGTAATATAAACAGTTATTTACAATTTTGCTAAAATTTCATGAAAGATGACATTTTTAGGTGACCTAGTTGAAACAAATGAAACTATTAACATGTTTGCATTAGGTTTTGTAAAAAAGAAGTATCCCTCTTGCCCAGTGTGGTCCTCAGTTCCTCAGGTCCTGATGTAGTGACCTAGAAGGCGAGACAGTTTCCCACCAGGGTTAGCAAGAGCAGGGTCTGGTTCATAACCCAAGGCAGCTGGAATGGATGTCTTTTATCATACCCAGCAGTGTCCAGTGCCAGGGTCTGTTATCCTGGTTCTCTGTCAGGCCAGTGATGAGGCTGATCTGGGCTGTAAGAGCAAATATCTTCTCCCCGATGCTGAAAGAATGATCCAACCTTCCCTGTTCCATAGATATTCTTATTCTGCCTTTAAAAGCTTTTTAATCTTGGAGCACAGCTAAAGAGACTACTGGAATCTATACTATGGCTTTTAAACAGTAAACAGTGAGGAGTAAAATGTAATGGCTCTCTCCTAACCTAAATAAATGATTGCAAGCAACTGTAAAGGGCTCGTGAGCTTGTGTGCACAGAGAAATTTAGTCTCATGGTGAACAGGATGATAACAGATAGATCAGAATAATATGGGGTTTTCGTGGATACCCTGTTAAAAGCTGCACCAGAAACAAGGGAATTGTTTCTGGTGCAGAAACAGGAGGAGGTTCAGTGTTTCAGCCACCACTCATAACTGTCTGGGTCACAAGCCAAAACACAAATTGTTCTCCATCTTGGTTGCTTCTAGGGTGCAAATAGCCAGCCCTGTAGTTCACTGATATGACTGTCTGGGGTGGTGGACAGTGTGGGAGAGAAATTTGAGGACATTTTGCATGTCTGGGCTTGAGGAAGCTACCTGGATCTGAGCAGGACATCAGTCTGCAGCAGAGGCTGTCTCACAACTTACCACCACCACCAACTTCACTTTCTAAAACAGGTAGCAGAGAGACAAAAACCTGAGCAATGAACCGGTGGCATCTGGTTGCCAACAGAGGTGTGTCCACTGGTTGGGGTCAGTGTGGGTCCTCTGGAGTGGTAAGAGTAGTGCTCATCCAGCTTTTCCTTCCGTGGTGACCAGGCATGTAAGACCCCAGTATTTGAAACCATTACATCCCTGACAGTCTCGGTTCACATCAGCCAAGCATTATTAGAGGGAAAAGGGATGGAAGCAGCATGATTGCCTGAACCAAACCAGCTAAAAAAGGAAGAAAGTTCAAATGGTGGATAAGGGAGCTTCTGCCATGCCGTGCCACGTGTGGTGTGCTGTGCTGTGGAAGGAGGGGAGCCTCGCTGATGCTGTCTGTCTGTTTCAGGGGGAGTTGCTGAGCCCGTGTCGATGCGATGGATCTGTGAAGTGCACGCACCAGCCATGTCTGATCAAATGGATTAGCGAGAGAGGCTGCTGGAGCTGTGAGCTGTGTTACTACAAGTATCACGTCATTGCCATAAGCACAAAGAACCCTCTGCAGGTAAAGGTACTAGAGACATTTCAAAGTCTATTTATTCTTGTTTCAATTTTTGTTTCTGGGAGCAAGCGGATTTTACCAGTGTGAGTTTTCCTTCCCTGTGCACGGGATTCATATGTCTGAGACACTTAGAAAGGATTGCCAGGGGCTGGTCCAAAGAGGCCCCATGTTCTGCTCAGTGATTCTGGGAGCATCCCTCAGGAGTCTGCTCTTTCTGTCCTTGGCAATTCCTATATTCACTTGCCTTCTGTTGAAAATTCCACAATAGTGCTGTAACACCTCACAGCCATTCAAATGCATTCATTCACTGGAGACCCCAGGTGTGCCTGTCTCCAGGGCCAGGCAAGGACTGCACCACTGTGGGATTTACTGCAACAGAGCACACAGTCTGTGACTGAGCAGTCGAGACACCACGTGTTCATAGTTGTGCCATTAATCCTGATCTCCTCCTGCTGAGACTCTGCTGTGTTGGCATGAGGGATGGTGGAGGCAGATGGAGGGTTCTTAGAGCTCTCCTCTCTGATCTCACCCCCTTTTTCACTTTACTGCTCTCACACAATCATGGCATGGCACAGGAGGTGTTGACTCTGATACTCTGGTCTCTTCAAGCCTGATTCTCGATGGACTTTTGCAGACATGCACACAACAGGTGAAGCACATTTGATAGGTCTGTGAAAGTCATCCAAGAACCCATGTTCTTTTTTATCTGAAAAGCACTGTAGTGAATAAGTCACAGTACAGACTGGTGATTTAAAATCCAGATTCAGAATGGGGAAAGCTGTGTGACTATTAAAAATGGGATAAATTATCCTTAAAAGCTATTGATTTATTGCGGAGGCAATGCCTGAAGATGCATTAATTGCTCCATGCCTTTGCTGAGCATCGTTAGTGCCTCGGCCATAAGGAAGCACATTACAGCCAGGCACTTCTGCTTAATCATCATCATCTGGACTGGAGAGGCATTACAGTGGTTTAGAGACCGTGGTCATTTCTGTAAGGCTTTCAGTCTGTCCAGTGACTGGCCCTCTGTGGGTCACTCTCTATCAGGAGGCAAGGACAGTGCTGGTGATGGTGCTCAGTTGTAGAGGGGAGTGCAAACTCCTGCTCTTTCAAACTGTGATCTCTGTGTGGTTTTTTTCTAGGCCTGAGGTCACTTACCACATTGAGGAAAAAGGGACAGCCCATTAGGACTCCAGACTTAAATGAAGTAGTGAAATTAGGGGGACATCATGGGGAAACTTTGCTGAGGGGAAGGAAAAACCTGCCTGTTCTCTGAGAGTCCCTACAGCTTCTGATTCAATTTTCCGTGAGCCATGGGCTGGACACATCAGTGGTTTCATCCCAAACATCAGATCCAGAGTGTTTTAATTTTTTGGCTCTAGCAACTCAGAGCAGATTGAAACACAGGAGGGGAGATGTGGACAAAGCAGCTTTTGTTTATTTCTGGAAAGCTGCTCCATGAGTGCCCTAATGCTTCCTGTGTCTCAGACTGGGGATGTGATGCTGAGCAGCACTGAATGTTTGTGAGTACAAATTTGTGAGCCTTTGTGTCCCCAGAACCGTCTTTAATGAGTGACTTCCAAATGCACTTTCAGGTGGCTCAGGGCACTGGGTCAATGACTTTCTTCCTGTTCCTCATTCAGGTAAAATTTTTTGGAGCTGCTCATGGACAAGCTTCCACCTCACACACAAAAATTTCAGAGCCTGTGCAAAGCATATCTCTCCCTGGACTCCCCTTTCAGAATGTGGCCTGATCTGATGGCCTTTGCCATGAACATAAAAAACTGAGTGGCAGAAACAGCTGAGTTAGAGGGCTCAGCTCCAGGAGCAAGGGTCCCAGAGGACTGTGCAGATCTGGGGCTTGCAGCCTTCAGATTGCTGGCTTAGACTTCACAGCACTTCTCACAGAAGCACTGGGAAATTTGGAGGATGGGAAGAAGCAACTGGAGTGAAAAGCCACTTGGCCTGGAATAAATGCAGTGTGTAGAGCTACAGCTGTGTGCCTGGGTGCCCTGTCTGGTGCCAGCACAAAGGCACTGCTGGGAAGCAGATGCTACCCTGGCATTAATATGCAAAATCCTGTGGGAAGTGGCTGATGCACCAGGCCAGGACTTCCTACCAGTACTAAGGGCTTGGGCCCCCCCATAACAAGTCACAGCATGTGCAGGTGGGAGGAGCATCCTTTCTGCTTGGCCTGCACCCCACGTGTGGATAACATGGGCCAGCTGGACATACAAGTGTATCTCAAAGTCCCTGAACTTTCTTCTCAGGGTCTGCTGGAACTTGGGCCCTGCTTTATTCTTACAAGAAATCTCTGAATTTCTCAAACAGTTTTCAGAGGGCAAATGCTGTAGGAAGTCATGGTCATCTGTTTTTTCCAGACCAACCATAATACAGACAAGGACCACACAAGCCTCATGTCCTTGTCCAATATAACCTATTTGGGTGATGCTCTGAGCCTGGCTAGATTCTAACCAGCAACATGGCCTACCTCTCTCCTGAGTCCTGTATCTGATAGACCGCTGGGAAGCCAAATCCAGGCAGCTGGCAGACCCTGGGCTCCCTGAAGCATGTCCAATTGGTCTGAACAGAGCAGCACATCCAACACCCACATGTTCCCTGGGACCTGCATGTTTCTCTGCCCATTTTGACATCTGCTGCACATTTTTTGGAGTGCTTAGAAGCACAGCATGGGCCAGATGTGTCTGGAGACTCATGGTGTGGGCAGAGAAGTTACAGTCGGGTTCATGCATAATTAACACAGTCTCCTTCCAGCCTCCAGGCTATTATGATGTTTCATACCAGAGACAGACCTTTAGTCTTCTGTTTTGGCAGAATTAATCTCTATAAATTAACCCACCCCACTCCCTGCTCCCTGGATTGCAGGCATTTAAGAGCAAAGGTCTTAAAGCAGCAATACTGCTAACCTGCTGAGACTGGGGGATTAAAGTTGTTGGACAGCATAGCAGGTGTCCTGCCAAGCAGCAGCTGGCCAGCAAAAATGAGCAAAAATACTCCATTAGCTGTGAACAACCAGGAAATCTAGAGCCTTTGTCCGTCCATCCATCCATCCATCCATCCGTCCGTCCGTCCATCCATCCATCCATTCACCCATCCACCAATCCATTCTCCTGCTCTCCAGTTTGCCAGTCACCAAGACAGGAGTCACGGGCTTGGAGGCTTTAAATGCTTCCCTCCATTGTAATACTTGTGTAAAGCCCATGACTTTTAAAAGGCCCTGAAGGCACAGGGCTTTGGAAGCACATTGTCATACTGCCTGCATCCTGGTGTTGATACATTGTGGAGTGGGTATCTGCCTTGATGGGCCTCTGAAGTGTATTTAATCTGTACACCTCCTTTGCAGTCAGTCCTGAACCACATCCACTCTGATGCTCTGATTTTAGCAAAGAGAAAATCTGTTTGAACCAACCTTCCCAACAACTGTCTGCAGTCTTGATGAGTTCAGCTCTGATTTACAGTTGTTATCTCCTGCTCTTCCTGCATTGCAGGCTATTTCAGCTCCAGAGATCCCCAGTTATCCAGTGCTGGGGTTGGAGTCTGGTCTCTGTTCTCCTCTGGCTCCATTTTGTCCATGGTGATGATCTGTTAGGAGCTGATGAGTGCTCTTACACGGCCTCCTCATCAGGACACTCACGACTGCAAGAACAGCTGATCTCACAGGGTGTTTGAACTTCAGCCTGAGATGCTGAGCTAAAAAGCTTGAGTCAAGTTTACTGATGTCTCCTGGTTGTCCCAGCCTGCTGAATCAGTTGTGTTGAGCATGAGCTTTGCTGGTCCCTGCTGAGCTTCAGCTGCAGCCTGCAAGCAGTGGGTACAGTCACTGCAAGAGAGACTTCAGGGCCTGTGTGTTATAACAGGAATTTTCCAGGATGCTGGTGCTGTAGCCTGAGTCTTACCAGATGCTGTGGCACATGGAGGAGGGGGGTTTTCATCGTTGCATTACATTTTCCATTACATGGCCCTACTGGGCCCTCCCTCCTCCTTGCTGCTTTTCTAGTATCTGAATAAGCCACAGCATCTGAAAGTGTACAGCAGGGAAGCTATTCCACAGCAGTGGCTTAATTTTGCTTGGTGAATTTATAAAAAAAAGCCATCCTGCAGAAGATAATTGAGGAGGATGGCCAGGGTCTTGGGACAGCAGCAAGGGGAGAACCACACCTAAGCTGCAAATGATCCTCTCCAACCTTCTAGGAAAAACCTCCTCTTGCTTGTAACCCTGGGTGTGAGAATTAAATTGCTGACTAGCACAGCTCAGGATGTTAATGATGTGTATTAAGGGGACGTGTCAGATACAGCAATAAAAATAAACTGAACTGCCTGAGGCAGGCATGGAGGAGCTCTCAGGGGAGTGCAGGAAGGCTCTTCCAGCAAATAAGACTTCTTTTCAAGCTGCTGCAGTAAGACATAGACATCTTCTGCAGGCAGTATCTGCCTTGGATATGCTTGTGCTGGTGCTTGGGAACCTTTGTAGACTGCAAGTGCCAAAGAAAGGGAAATACAGATCAGGCATTAAATGCTATAATAATGACATTATTCATCTGTGTTACATTAGCAGGTTTTCACTTACAAACCTCTAAGCAGGAGCACTGAAGCAAACAGGGAAACAGGTTTGTGTCAAGTACAACTTGCAGGTTATGAAACAGTGCAGAACAAGTGACATGCTCAAAGGCAGCAGTACCAGCTTGGACCCTGACTAAAGTCATTACAAATGTCAGACCTGAGCTCCTAAGAAGCCCTTTCTGAGGCATCTGGGTTGCAGAGCTTTGCAGTTTGGGCAAAATGGGATAACTTGGGGAAACTGGTCTGAGAGAGAGTGGTGTTTTGCACCTGCAGACATGGGTGGTGTGCCAAAGCACTTGGCTCAGGGGGGTGGTACCAGAGGACAGACAGACAGCTCCAGACAGCTTCTCCAGAATGGTTTGGAGGGTTGGAGCACTTTTCCAGTGTGGGTGGCAGACCATCACAGACAACTGCTTGGGCATGTTCTGAAGCCATTGTGAGTCTGGAGCTCATAAAACTGGTCCTGTTATCCTGTAGGAGCCTTTATAGCTTTTTGGTACCACCAAGTCCTTAGTTCTGCCCTGTTCAGCACTAGCAGAGCTTTCTACCTGCCTAAAGGTCATGTCTCTGACTGACAACCTGGGTGAGCTGCGTTGTTAAAGGTGCACTTTAGTGCAGCTCAGTGGCTACCAGGAGCTCGAGTCATTATCAGCTGAGGGAAAAAGGGCTCAGCTTTAGGTCTCTTCCCACAAGGTGGGATTGCTTGACACTGTGATCTTGCTAGATCTTGAACATTTGAGCTGGAGATTTGGAGGGAGGGGGCTGTGCCTGCTGCCAGGCATTCAGACAAAAAGCTTTGGGGGTTTCAGATGTGCCAATAGAGGGACTCCAGAGCTGCTGAGCAGCTCTACTGGTGACCCAAGGATGATAGGGTCACCTGCCAAGTCCCTGGTCTGCTGGACATAATGAGGGTGGAGAGGGCTTGGGGAAAAAGGGTGATTTTCTAAGAGCTGTTTTGAAATCTGAAAGACATAGTGCTGTGATTGAGGTGAGCTCCTAAGGCTACCTGTGCAGGGACACATCAAGCCCAGCTCCTGCAGCTGAAATTCATCAGCACATTCCACCTCTGAGCAGCTCTTGGACCTTTCTGTCTGAGCACTCATGGGGGTAAGAGGCTCTATCTGTCTCATGCTAACATCTTCTATCTCATACGCTAAGATGTGTAGTGAAATGGAATTAAAAGATGAAAAATACTTACTCTAGTTATTAGTGGCTCAAGCTAGATCTGAGACAGTAAATTTCAGTTCTCAGAGCTGCCAGAGAGAAAATACATTTATTACTTCTTCTTCTTCTTTTTGTTTATTTTTTCTTTTTTTTTTTCCTGGAAAATATTAAATTCTTCTGCATGCTGCCTGTTTTCCACAATGTTCAGCTTTAACCCATTTACCTCCTTGCCAGAGGGAAATCACACCCCAGTGCCACCTTCTGAACAGAGTCAGGACTGCTGCTGTGTGTGTCACTGTCACTGAGTGCCAGATGCAGAGGGAGAGCATCCTACCCCCTGGCACAGCTGGCAGACTCCAGGCTCTTCATTATCACCACAGTGAACTTCCCAGTAGCCACTGCCAGCTGAGCAGTGTCAGGCACTGTCCCTCCCAGTGTTTCAGCCTCCCTGTTCCCAGCCAAGGGGAGCAGGATTTGAGGTTTTGCACTCAGGTGTAACTCTTCTGTTCTCTGAGCCCCATCCCCTTTGACAATGTATTTAGTGCTACACCTAAGCCTCCTTTTCTCTGCAAAGCCATGGTGTTGGTTTTACATGGCATCAAGTTGCAGAAAACAGTTCCTTCTTCTCTTCCCTTCGCCTCTAATTGCTACCTTGGAAGGACCTGTTGCTACCAGAGGCCTTGCAGTATGCCAGGCAGATGGTGAGGAGCCAGTCCATTACCTCCTCAAGAGAGAGAAATGATGCAGAATGATTTGGCTGGCACAGGCGCACGCGGTCAGTGTGAGGGGCCTGCGGTAAAGCCTTCGCACGCAGCACCAGGCTGTGCTCTCAGCGCTCTCATTCCTCCCAGTCAGCCACAGGCAGTGGAAGGGGAGATGAGGTCTGGGGAAAGCTGCAGGGGTGAAACTGCAACCCCATGCACGTAGCCAATCTTCCTCCCCACCACATGAATTTAGTCCTGGAGCTCTGGGCTAATGGCATTGCTTGCAGATTTGTCTTTCATTGGCTTATGATGCTATTGAGAGCAAAGCTGAAGAGCTGGTAGGAGGATGGCAGAGCTGCTAATCCCACCTTCACAAGCCAGATTTGTTATGGGTGCTGGGTGGCCTTTGCTCTGCTTGATGTCGGGAGAGGAGTTGCACCATTGCGCCTCTCCTGTGGACTCCAGCACCCCTGCAGCATTGGGACTTCCAGGCGGTTCACTGTGGGACCTTCTCAGTGGCACAAAGGGGCCAGGTGGATTTGGTGGAGGCATGGAGCAGGTCAGGCTGTGGCAGAGTGGGAATGGGCTGTTGAAAAGGTTACTGAGTGTCCCCAGTGCTAAGTGTTTGCCTTTGGCTGGGTCAGCTGCTGGGGCAGATCGCAGGAAGGGGACTAGAGTAGCTGAGCCCAGGGAAAAGACTGGGTTTAGCTGAGCCCAGTCCTGCTTCAGTGGGGAACAAGCTCTCTCTCTGTTCAGCAGCTCAGTGGTCATTTCTGTGGCCAACTACCAAATAAGCTGGTACCGCCCACATCACTGGTGCAGCACATCCACGGTAGACAATGTGAGGGCTGTCTGCCCTTGCAGGATGTAAGCCAGGGAGCAAGGCTGGCAGAGGCAGAGGAATCTCCTTCAGCTGGCACTCGCAGACCTCAGCCTCTGGCTGAAGCTCTCATTTGTCCCTCTCCAAATGCAGCCCCTTTCAGGGAAGTGCATTTGGTTCAGGAGTTTGATCATTGGACTGGTAGCAGTGCCATGCATGCCTGTACCAGCACAAGTCACTTCTTGTCCTTCTTGCCCTTCAGTTCAAAAGTCCTTGCAAAAAACATGGCTAACTCCTGGTTGGCGTGAGCATTAAAGAGGTATCCAGTACTTGAACTCCCTTCTTGCACTGCAGAAGGATGGGACAAGGCTTGCTGGGTGATCTGCTGTCCTAGGATATGTTTGATCAACATGCAGGGCACTGAGATCTCACAAGACTGTCATTTCATAAGGACACTGAATTCAGACTGAATCTAGGCTAAAGATTTTCAACTCCTCTGAATCCTCTGTACCTGCTGGAGGTTGAAGTCCATCTTTGTTTATCCTCCTGCCAGTCCCACTGTGATTTCAAGGGCATGTATCTCACAGCTAGAGGTGGCCTATATACTTCAATGCCAGGAGAGACTGCCTCTCCTCAGCCTGTTTACACATTTGATTTTTGATTTGCAGTAGATGCTATGGACCATGTCCCCAAGTCTTGTTAAAGACTCCAATTTCTGCTCTTGGTTTTATAGGACAGTTTTCTCAGCAGTGTAAATCTGAGTGGGGAGGTTTTATGCTGGATGACAGAGAGGAGTCTGGGTTTAGGATATTTATAATGTAGCTTATACAAAGCTATTTGACAAAGTGAATGGATTTGGAGGAGTTATTTCTATTTTTTTCTTTTTTCTGAGGAAGAAGCATTGACGTTTACCTTGGAACACAGCCTGAATATGTCATCATCTAAAGGCAGGGTGTCCTGACCACAACAACTTGTGTTCTTTGTAGCACATTCTGTGGGATGTGCTTTGCCACTGTGAGATTCTACCTAGGGCTGTGATCATATCAAATCTCACAAAGTGGCACAGAGCCAGCTCATATGAGGCCTTCCAAAGAAAGCTTGGTTCTTTGAGATACTTACTCTTTTGGTACTGGAATGCCCTGGATGAGGATGTTGCCTGGCCTCTATTTGAGGGAGTAACTGAACTTTATGGTTTGTGATGGCCATCGCAGATCTACCGTCATGAGCGTGTTATTTTTGGTGTCTTGCCTTCATCCATCCTGCCTCACTCAGGTTGCTGTGCTTTCCTGGTGAGATGCAGGACTCCTTTCCACTGCCTCTTTGGCAGTGCTGTTAAGAAACCCAAGGCCATGCACAGTGGAACAATGGCCACGCTCCATCCCAGATGTGGATGGGGTAAAAGCACTTATGCCCATAGGTGCTCTTTGAGATCTCCAAAGCCACCACAATGGTGTAAAACAGTGATGTGCTCCAAGTAACTAATGTCTTCTCTTTTGTCCTTCCTCCCTCCCTCCCTCTTGTCCCCTCCCTGTACAGTGGCAGGCCATCTCTCTGACAGTCATTGAGAAGGTTCAGATAGCAGCGGCCATCCTGGGTTCCCTCTTCCTCATCGCCAGTATCTCGTGGCTCATCTGGTCGACCTTCAGTCCTTCAGCCAAGTGGCAGCGCCAGGACCTGCTCTTCCAGATCTGCTATGGAATGTACGGCTTCATGGACATTGTCTGTATAGGTGGGTGATCGTCTCTCACACCGCGGCCACGGCCGCCCGCTCACTCGCCTCTGGAGAGGAGTGGGGGATGGCGTGGAGAGCCAGCCCATACAGTTTGGCTTGGATTGAGTGCCCACAGCTTTTCCTCCTCCTTGCTTTTATGGCCCATTTTTCACTATTCTCTCAGCTCACCTGGGTGGCCCCAGAGTGCTTCCTTGGCTGGGGTGTCAGAGGGACCTGCAAGAATGCCAGAGTGAAGCAGATGTCTCTTCAGAGCAAGAAGTGGGTGGGGAGATCTGGGGGAGGCTGGAGAGTGTAAGGCTTTAGAGGAGCTCCTCTCCTCCTGGAATAGCTAATTTAGGGACTGCCCCACACCAGGCATGGCAGGGTCTCTCCACACGCAGCTCCTTGGCTCTCCAGCCCAGTCTCTCTGCCAGGCAGGAATGGCTTCCCCTTCTTTGGGCCACCTTGGAGCTGCAAGTCCAAACCAGGTCATGGGCCAGGCTGGGGTCCTTGTCAGGTTGCTGGTGCAGAGCAGCTCTTTGAGGATGCAGCTGCCTCGCTCACACTGCACAAGCCTGGAAAGCACAGCAGCTGCTGGCAGCCTGGCCCCAGTAGAGTCTCCCTGGGACCAGTGCAGGTCTGCAGGGTGGAGGGACATAGCTGGCAATACCTGCAGCAGCTCCTGAAGCACTCTGGTGAGCACCAGCCACCTCGGAATGTGCCCCTGAGCAGTGTCCACCCAAGCCCAGGCCACAAGATAACTTGTCAGTTCAAGTGACCCTGACAGGAAGCAAAAAGGGCACCAGAGAGCTTTTCATGTCTGGATCCTGGCATCACTGTTATAAAGTTAGAAGAAGCCCTCACAAACTCAGTGGGAGAAGGCAGTCCTCTTGACTTGGCGGATACGTGTATGTGTGGATAGAGCCATTCCAGAGGGAAGAACAGCCCCCATTCTGACCCTCAGGAGAAGCAGGACAGAGCAGCAACTGGTGGAATTTGGGTGCAGAAGTAAAACAGACCCAGTGGCAGGGACAGAATTCTGGACTGCACACCCTGGTATCCAGGTTCAAATAGCTCTCAGCCTTAGCAGCCTTCCAGCACAGGACTTGGGCCTGCCAAGACCAATTCCTCCCACTGTGCCAGCAACGAGATGTGAGCTTGGCCTGTAGAGAGCATCCTGCTCCTTCATGTGATGCTAGTGGAGCTACCACATTTCCCCAGGAACTACTGTAGCAAAGGGGGTTAAAGAGAGATGGGCAGCACCCATATGTTGGCACAGTAGGCGATAACCTCTTGCTGGTGGAATTGAAAGTGGAAAAAAGATTTCCCTATGCATGTGTGGTGTGCACATGTGTCGCCTTGTTGGCAGGGGACAGAAGTGGAGAGCTCTGAGCTGGGCAGACATCAGTATCATGATTAACTGGCTTTGATAAAGCTTCAAGAGCTGAGGGGAACTGATTAGCTCATCTGTTAATAGGAGGTAAATCTTCCCACATAGCAGAGAACAAACCATGCCAGCCTTGAACTGAAGGGGAACTGAGCAGACAGATCAGATTTTAGGTCCTTTTGTTTGTTTGTTTGTTTGTTTGTTTGTTCTTGTTAACTTTTCTAAGGATTTGGCCTCTATTTCTCTTTTCCACCTTGTCTGAAGGAAAAATAAATTTATTTGCATCTCCACTGATATCACCATTAAGCATAATGCCCTAAGCCGGGAGCTTTGATTTTTTTTTTTCCAGCAAAAGAAGAAGCAAACATCCCATTCCCAGGAACATTTCAGTCGTGACTTGGGGCATCCCCTTGTCTCATGTTTCTCCCAGCACAGCTGGCAGTCCTGGGGTGCCAGGCATGCTGGCTTTCCCACAAACTCAAAAGCCAGTGGGAAGCATTACAGATGCAGTGAGTTAACATGTCTGTACGTGGGTTCTCTTGCCCAGCACTCAGCAACTACCCAGAGCTGGCTCCACTTGGGCTGTGTGCAGCACGTCTGCCCGTGCTGCCAGGCAGCCCACCCGTGCTCATGTAGGAGAGGGGATGTTCTGGAGCACGTGAGCTCTGTCTCCATTCCTGTAGAAAAGCTCATATGTGATGCTGCCAGGCCCCTGCCACCCTGCAGTGTACAACTTGATTGTATAGTGCATTTTTGCTTTTGAAATCCCAGCTGTTCCTGCTGCTGCTGCTGCTCCCAGCTCAGCAGTGCAGAGGAAATGAGCTCTGAGCAGTACTAGCTGAGAGTGTGTGTTCACTCTCCTCTCCTCCTCCTCCTCTTCTGCCCAGTTCAAACTCACTGACAGATGAGATCTTCAGCAGGAGCTGTGACTCCCTGGCTGTTGATGTGGTCATCTCTCTTTTCTGAGTGACTTCTCCTCAACCCTGCAGATTTCAGGGGCTGCACTAGCACTAGCCAAAAGGCTGGTCTGTCCCACGGAGAGGCAAGGCTAGGGGAAGGGAGTGATCACAGGGGATTCTATCCTATGAACACAAGCTGAGAGTGTTAGAGCATTGGGGTTGTTCTGCTTGGAGAAGAGAAGGGTCTGGGGATACAGCTTTCCAGTACATCAAGGGACCTACGAGAGAGCTGGAGAGGGACTTAGGGCAAGGGCATGTAGTGATGGAACACTGGTCATGGCTTTAATTTGAAAGAGAGTAGGATTAGATATTAGCAAGAAATACTTTACTGTGAGGGTGGTGATGCACTGGAGCAGGTTGCCCAGACAAGTTGTGGGTGCCAATCCCTGGAAGTGTTCAAGGCCACACTGGACAGGGCTCTGTGCAACCTGGAGTAGTGGGAGGTGGCCCTGCCCAAGGCAGGTCGGAAGAAGATGATCTTTAAGGTCCCTTCCAACCCAACCCATTCTATGAACACTGCAACTGAGGCAAATTCCTCATTCATTATAACTTTGTGATAGATGCAATGTTTCCCTAGAAGGCTTGCAGTGAGTTCCTCACTGTGGAACAGCTTTTCTCCCTCTCTTTATCCTTCCTCCAAACCTTACTGCTTCATGCAGGGTCTTTTCACAAAAAGTCAAAGGCAGCTCTGGAGATTGAAAGTTCTGCTCCTGACTGCCAGCATGGCCCCAAGTCTCTTGTTATTCATCCTTGGGTTTTAGTTCAACTTCTGCAAGTTTAGGATAAAACCTCTCATGGATAATTACAGTGGCAATGGATCTTGAAATACCGGAGCGTTGTTTGTGCAATTCAGTGTCTCCTCCTCTAGAGCCCTTTTCCTCTTTTGTTACCTAGCCTGTGGGTGGACAGGAAAGATTTAGGAACTAAGAAATGCTCAGTCATGGGGAAAGGGCAGGACATTAAGTGCACTCGGTTCTACCACACTTTTTTTTCCCAGCTAATGTAAGATGCTGTCTGTACATTTTTTTTTTTTGTAACAGGCTGGGCAGCCTTAGTAGCAGAATGTGATACCATAGGTCCTACAGTAATTGTATTAATACCAGTTGTTTCTTCCTTCAGCTTGACCCCCAAGTTTTTCTTTCACTAGCAGAGGAGCAGAGGTTTTAAAGACAAGGTACTTACTGAAGAGCAGGTGTGCTGAAACAGAGCTCCTCTGTAGTTCCTGCCAGTTTGCACTTCAGTGATACTTGGGTGTCTCAGATCCATCGGGTAGCCAGTGACTCTTGTCCCAGAGGCCAGTTTACACACCCTGTCACTGGAGGTGCTCAGTAGGACACTTCCTCTGGCACTGTGGAGTCTCACAGCTGGAGAAGTCACCAACTCTACAGAGATGTGACTAAAATCAGGCAGGCAATCAGCAACTGCCCAGCTGTTTTGTGTGATCTCCTCTCTACCTAGTCACTAAGGGATTTAGATAGCAATTTGCCAAGACAGAGATACCAGTGGAAATCTGCATGGACAATCCCATGGCAGCACTGCGCGTGGACAATCCCATGGCAGCACTGATCTTTCTGGTGTGGAGTCAAAGGTGAGGGCCTGAGTGCTTCCCTCCACATATAGCTCCCTCAGCATGGATCATTTGGTTGTTGTTATCCTCATTTGTTCTGAAATGGTCAGATCATCTCCAAGCTGAACTCTCAAAATATGTCTGTTTACTCAGAGACTACTGATCCATGGAACAAAATCCAGGGGTCTGGATTTGACCCTCAGTCACTAACCTTCAGTAACCTTCTAGTTTTATTCAGACTTTTCTAGATCTGGCATGCCCCACAAAAACAGTTGGGAGGGACAGAAACCATTATCTACCTCTTCACCCATGATAAAAACAAAAATCACAACCAAAGTAAAACCAGTCTGCTCCTCACGATCAGTGGGACAGGTGGTATGGCCCCAAGCACCAGAAATCTCTGTCCTTCTGGGCAAGACGTGCAAGATGGCCTTTCAACACTGTCTCCCCCTTGCTCTCAGACATTTAACAGGAGGGCAAGAAGCACTGGAAAAGATTGCTTGGGTTTTGTGGGAACCTCCAGTACTGGATTTTATTTAAGAACCTGTTAGACAACATATGTCAAGAACAGGTTGCAGAGAGATGATCCCAGTTTGTGAAGGAGGAACAAATTAAATGCTTCTTGATATCCAGCCAGTCTCGATGTCTTTGATTCTGATCTCTCTTTCATCTGTGCTATCTCTGGTCATGTCTGTAGGACAGATATGAGAGTTGGATTAAACTAGAAACTGGTGACGATGCCAGCATAGGTACTGCTCTGCTTATGAAGTCATCTACAACACAGACATCTGAGATCAGGAAGCAGGAAGGGAATGAAAAGTGAGATGGGGACTGTTCATTTGATTAACTGCTCTCTCCATGGTCCATGAGAGGTAAATCCAAGAGGTAAATCTCTTGCATAGTGAGATTAGCAAAAATGCGGTTATCGAAATGCGAAGATAAATGGAATGAGCCTTCACAGGCATCAGCTACTGAGCAGAGAGTAGCAGCTTAGAGCTGGCCTGTAAATCCTGAGAGATACCTGCCTGCTAATTAAATGACAGTCCTTGGAGAGGAAGGGAGGGGTTTGCCTCTGTCTCTGTCAAGGTGCATTTAGGGGAAGTCG